TCGATACGGGGCTGAGAGGGGGTCTCTTTGGTGGGGGAATACAGGAGAGGCCTTTGACCCCTTCTTGGCTTGGAGAGGGGTTTGATTTTGCCCCGAGACCCTCTCTCTTTGCTTCAGTTTCAGCTTCCCAGCCGAGCTGGGGCAGGTCACAGCGCAGCCCAAAGACGAAGCCGGACAGGTAAGACCCCAAGAGCGACTCTCAAAAAAAAAAAAAGCCCCCCTCCATCCACAGAGACAGAATGAAAAAGCCAAGAGGACCGAAAGGACGGAAGAGAAAACCACGCGATTTTTCCTCCCATTGGGTCAGGAAACCTGCATTTTCAGGTTTGAGGTTTCTCAAGTACACCAAGCCACCTTAGACCAAGTTTATTTGGGGGGAAAATCGGGTCCCCCCTCAAGACCCCATGAAAACGACCTTCCGAAAGGTGCTTTTGCTGAGGGGCAAGCAGAGGGCATGCGCTCTGCCCCGTTTCTCCAGGGAGACGAGGGGAGAGGCGGGACTTCAAAAGGCCCAGGAACGCGGGACGAAAGAATCCTCGGACATACAGGCGGTCCTCGGCTTCGGACCGCAAGGGACCCCAAAAGTTCTGTTGCTGAGACGTTTGTGACGTGAGTTTTCCCCTTTTTACGGCCCTTCCTTGCCACCGTTGTTGAGCGAATCACTGCAGTCGATAAGTTAGTAGTACCGTCGTTAAGTGAAACCGGCTTCCCCTCATTGACTCTGCTTGTCCGAAGGTCGCAAAAGGGGATCACTTGACCCTGGGACACCGCGACCGTCGTAAATATGAGTCCGTTGCCGAGCGTCTGCATTTGGATCACGGGACCTGCCTCATCCGTAAGTGTGAAAAACGGCCGTAAGTCCCTTTTTTCAGTGCTGTGATCACTTTGGTCACTAAATGAATGGTCGTTAAACCGAGGACTGCTTGTGGTACAATACTGGGAATACAACATTAGAACGACCCGAAGAGAAGAGGTCTGGTGCGCTCCCAGCAGATGAAACCCAGTATAGGGTTTCCTGCCTGAGCAGGGGGTTGGACTAGATGACCTCCAAGGTCCCTTCCAACAATTATTATCATTTATTGTGACTGCAAAATGGGCAAGCCACGTGGCCAGGCGGCTCCGGAGAGACACAAAATTCTGGGGGCGCATCCCTAGAGGGGTCCCCAGCAGGAAAGAAGAGGTCCTAATCCCGCCGTGTGGGGCTTCAGTGTGGAGAGTGTGTGTCCAGTTCTGGAGAGCCCACTTCTTATTAAAAAAAAAGCTATGGATAAGATTGAGGGAATCCAGAGTCAGGCAACAAAAAACGGTCCGAGGTCTGAAGAACAAAACGGATCAGGAGGGATGGGAGGAAGCGGACCTGCACAGCCTGCAGGGCAGAAGGGAGAGGGGGGGGGGGACCCAATGGAGACCTTTAAATCTACTAAGGGTGTAAGTATTTTATGCTGGAGGAGAGCTTTCGCTTGCAAAAGGCCAGAGGGAACTTATGGGACATCGGGCTTTCCGTGTTCCTGACTGTTGCTGAATATTGAAAATAGGAGGGACGGCGGATCTACGTGTCCCAGGATAATGTTGCAGGATCCAATCTGGGATCCAGAAGGTCTAGTCTTCCCAGCTTTGGTATTCTTGCTGAAGCCCCCATCCTCGGGGAATTTCTCCCGGCTAGACCCTCTCAATTCCTGGCAAATAGATGGGGAAGAAATGGAGGTAGTGACAGATTTTATCTTCCTGGGCTCCAAGATCACCGCAGAGGGGGACTGCAGCCAAGAAATTAGAAGACGCTTGCTCCTGGGGAGGAAAGCTATGGCAAATCTAGACAGCATACTAAAAAGCAGAGACATCACCCTGCCAACAAAAGGGCGTATAGTCAAGGCCATGGTTTTCCCAGTGGCAATGCATGGCTGTGAAAGTGGGACCATAAGAAAGGCTGAGCGCCAAAGAATGGAGGCCTCTGAACTCTGGTGCTGGAGAAGACTCCTGCGAGTCCCTTGGACTGCAAGGGAATCCAACCGGTCAGGAGATCAACCCTGACTGCTCTTTAGAAGGCCAGATCCTGAAGTTGAAACTCAAGTACTTTGGCCACCTAAAGAGAAGGAAGGACTCCCTGGAGAAGAGCCTGATGCTGGGAAAGATGGAGGGCAAGAGAAGAAGGGGATGACAGAGAAGGAGGTGGCTGGATGGAGTCCCTGAAGCAGGAGGCCTGAGCTTCAATGGACTCCAGAAGATGGCAGAGGACGGGAAGGCCTGGAGGAACGTTGTCCATGGGGTCGCGATGGGTCTGACACGACTTCGCAACTAACAACAACAACAAGACCCTCCCTGTTGGACACATACTCTGCTAGAGAGACATTCCCCGCGGATGGGGGCACCAGCAGGAGTCCCAAAGCTGGGAAGACTAAGTGACTGACCCAGATTGGATCCTGCAACATTATCCTGGGACACGTAGATCCGCCGTCCCTCCTATTTTCGATATTCAGCCCCCCCTGAAGTGGGAAGGGACGGTCCCCACGCTCTACGTTCAATTGTGAAGTGAGAGAGGGGCAAGAAAGGGGATTTTTGAGCTAAGTCCAAAACTTTTCTCCCCCCCCTCCCTCCTCCCCACCCAGGGGTAGGCAACCTCGGCTCTTTTATGACTCGTGGACTTCAACTCCCAGAATTCCTGAGCCAGCATGGCTCAGCTTGGAAACCTCTCCCTTTCCCCTCAGCATAGCTGACTCAGGAATTCTGGGAGTTGAAGTCCACGAGTCATAAAAGAGCCGAGGTTGCCTACCCCTGGACCTGTGTTTTTTTTCAAATTGGACAACTTTTAAGAGGAACTCCCTGTGCTGGCTGGGGAATTCTGGGAGTTGAAGTCCACCCGTCTTAAAAGTTGCAAGTTCCCGATGGGCCTTTATTGCTTGGCCAGAGACAGAGAAGCCGGCAGGATTAAAAATGAGCCGTTAGAAAAATAACAACCGTCCAATTTTTTACAAAAGAGCGTTGGGTTAAAAAAAAAAAAAGGGGGGGGGGAAATTCAGAGCTTGCAAAGGGGGGCTGGCAAGGGGGACGGAGAGAGGGAAGCAGATTCCCACAACCAGCCAGGCACGGCCAGCAGGAGAGTATTAAAGGGGGGGGGGTCTCTGTGATTCACCTGCCCTGGAAGACCCCCCCCCCACACACACACACCAAGGAAGTCAGGATCAACCACAGCATCCTCCCCCCTCTGGAAGCCTGGAATGGGACACCTTCTGCCCTCTTAAAGCTGCTGCTACTCTACAAAGTAGAGTAAGGTTGGTGGGAAGCAGTGAGAGCAGGCATACGTGCCTCTCTCTCTCTCTTTCTTTCTCTCATTCTCTCATTCTCTCCTCTCTCTCTCATTCTCTTTCTTTCACTTTCTCATTCTCTCATTCTTTCTCTCATTCTATCTTCTTTCTCTCATTCTTTCTTCTCTCTCTCATTCTCTTTCTCTCTCTTTCTTTCTCTCATTCTCTCTTCTCTTTCATTCTTTCTTTCTCTCATTCTCTCTTCTTTCATACTTTCTCTTTCTCATTCTTTCTCTTTCTCTCATTCTCTCTCATTCTTTCTCATTCTTTCTCATTCTCTTTCTTTCTCTCATTCTCTTCTTTCTCTCATTCTTTCTTCTCTCTCTCATTCTCTTTCTCTCTCTCTCTTTCTCTCATTCTCTCTTCTCTTTCATTCTTTCTTTCTCTCATTCTCTCTTCTTTCTCTCATACTTTCTCTTTCTCATTCTTTCTCTTTCTCTCATTCTCTCTCATTCTTTCTTTCATTCTTTCATTCTTTCTCTTTCTCATTCTTTTTCTCTTTCTCTTTCATTCTCATTCTTTCTTCTCATTCTTCCTCTCTCATTCTCTCTCCTTTTTCTTTCTCTCATTCTTCTTTCTTTCTCTCTCCTTCTTTCTTTCTCTCTCTTTCTCTCTTTCTCTCTCATTCTCTCATTCTTTTTCTCCTCTCTCTCTCTCTCTCTCTCTCTCTTCAAGAAAAGATTAGACATTCATTTGTCTGGGATGATATAAGGACTCTTGCCTTGGGGCAGGGGGTGGGCTAGAAGATCTCAAGGTCCCTTCCAGCCCTAGGATTCCATGATTCTCTCTCTTCTCTCTCTCACACTCACACACACAAAAACCCCTGCCCCTGGGTACAAAGGGAAAGCGGTGAGCTTCTCATCCAAGCTCAATTTGGAGGCTGGGGAAGCTGCCCCAAAGACCTGCCAGTTCCCACCCCCTCCGATCCCCCCAGGCCCTCCCCACCGCCCTCTGGCTTGCCCTGGCCTGCCACAGAAGAGGCCTGGGGAGCTGCCAGTGCGATAGGCCGCACCGACTCGCAGCTCAGGGCTGCTGACTTTGGGTTACACAAGGCGGACGGTCACCAAACGGAGCCGAGAACGGGAAGCAAATCGGCTCGTTGCTGCCACCCGGTGGCCCCCAGGGGTTTTGCAGCTGGAGCTGTCTCGGTGCTGGGGCCAGTCCTCGCTGGCCACGGGGCAGACCTGGGCCACCCTCCTTTCATTCAGCCCGTCCCGCAGCCGAAGGAAGTGAGCTGGAACACAGCCGGAAAGAACGGCGGGCGGGTGCAGGCAGACCGGCCCGCACGCCCTCTCTGCCTGGCAGCCAGGACTGATGCCTCCTGGGCATCACCACCCTGCTTGGGCCTCGGTGCCCAGCGAAAGAGTGACGCCAGACCAAGCCACACCCCCAGCCGTTTGTCCGCAGCACTGGAGCAGGGGGTTGGACTAGATGACCTCCAAGGTCCCTTCCCACTCTGTTTGCTCCGTTGAGTGGGGCGTTCAGCCCTCCCTGAGATCTCCGTGCGCCTACACGGGCAGCGGGAGAACATCGTCCCGATGTGGATCCCAAAAGCTCTGGCTCGCCAGGGGCCGGGCTCTTCCCACAAGGCAGGCGGGATCCCGCCCCGAGGGGCAGAGGGCCGGGACCGCAGCCTCGCCCTCTCGACCGGCCCGAGCAGCAGAGAGGCCGGCCCGGCCCGTGAGGAGTGGACCTCTCCGCTCACATCAGCTGGCAGCAGCGCCTCTTCTGGGCCGGCCTCTCCTCGGCCGGAGCAGTCAACTTGAGGAGGGGAGGGTCTCCACTGGCTGCGGTGAGGGACTCGGCGTTGGGCCCCGCCTGGGGGGGCTGAGGGGCCTGGTCACGGCCGGGCAGGAGCTCTTCCGTCGAGGGGCGCTGCAGCTTGGCCGCTGCCCGCTGGCGCTTGAGGTCCGCTAAGGTGTGGTGGGCCTTCTCCTTGCTGAGGCCGGATGCCGGGTCCTCTTGGGCGGCCAGCTGGGAGGAAGAGGCGCGGTCCGGCCGCTTGGGGTACAAGGGGTGAGGGGGGGCCGTGCCGTTGCGCTCCTCGGGGGGCCCTGCTTCCGCTTCGGGGTCCTGTGGGATGCAGAGAGGAAGGGTGTAAGTCAGGGGTCTTCCAACTTGGCCCTTTGATGACTCGTGGACTTCGACTCCCAGAATTCCTGAGCCAGCGTGGCTCAGCTTGGAAACTCTCCCTTTCCCCTCAGCACGGCTGGCTCAGGAATTCTGGGAGTTGAAGTCCACCAGTCATAAAAGAGCCAAGGTTGCCTACCCCTGCCCTATACCAAGGGGTGGGGAACCTTGCCTCTTTTATGACTGGTGGACTTCAACCCCCAGAATTCCTCAGTCAGTCTCCATTTTGTTTGTTAGATTTAAGACAGGAGTCTTCAAACTTGGCCCTTTGATAACTCGTGGACTTCAACTCCCAGAATTCCTGAGCCAGCATAGGGGAACTATGGCCCCCTCATGACTGGTGGACTTCAACTCCCAGAATTCCTCAGCCAGCATGGCTCAGCTTGCAAACCTCCCCCTTTCCCCTCAGGGTGGCTGGCTCAGGGATTCTGGGAGTTGAAGTCCACGAGTCATAAAAGAGCCAAGGTAGCCTACCCCTACCCCAGGGTCACATGATCAAAATTCAGCCGCTGGGCAACCGGCTCGTATTTACGATGGACGCAGCGTCCCGGGGGGGTGTCACATGATCCCCTTTTGCAACTTTCTGACCCGTAAAGTCCATGGGGGGAAGCCGGATTCGCTTAACGACCGTGTGACTAATTTAACAACTGCAAGGTTTCATTTAACAACGGTGGCAGGGAAAGTCGTAAAATGGGGCAAAGCCCGCTTAACAACTGTCTCGCTTAGCGACATAAATTTGGGGCTCCCTTGTGGCCGTTTAACCCGAGGACTCCTGTACACGAAAGACCCCCAATTGGTCAGTCAAGGCCCCGGGACGGAGAGGAGATGTGGCCAGCGATGCAGGCCCAAAGCCCTGGCTTGAAAGACCAGCGTGCCTCCCTCTGACTCTTGGGGGGAGGGGAGAGAAAAGGGGGGGGACCAGGGAAGACTTGGGTCTGGGCCCCCCCCCGGCCTCTGACTCCCACCTGGACTCGGAGCTGCCCGTCGGCCTGTCCGTCCTCGTCCTCCGGCTCTCCCTCGCTCTGCCGCCGCTGCCACACGATGGCCTCCTTCGCCTGTTCCTTGCGGTAGAGGTTGGTGCGCTGGGTCAGGCTCGCCCGCCTCACCACTTTCCTGGGGGGGGGAGACAAGGCGTAGTGAGGGTCCCCGAGGGAGACCCAGAGCCGGCCCTGCTCCTCCAGGGATCTGGAGCCCTCCCCACTCCTCCTCCTGCTCCTCCTCCACTATGCACACTCCCTTCTAGCACTGATGATGTTATCTAGTTGGTTCATGAAACGTCTGCAGGAACAGAACCAAGCTCAAAAAGCACCAAGGACCCCACAGTCCTTTCCTCCTCCTCCTCCTCCTCCTCCTCTCTACCAACCCAACTCCCTTCTAGCACTGATGATGTTACCTAGTTGGGTAATGAAACGTCTGCAGGAAAACCACCCAACTCCAAAAGCACCAAGGACCCCATAGTTGTCGTCCTCCTCCTCCTCCTCTCCTTCTCCTCCTCCTCTTCCTCCTCCTCCTCCTCCTCCTCCTCTCCACAAACCCGACTCCCTTCTAGCATTGATGATGTTACCTAGTTGGGTAATGAAACGTCTGCAGGAAAACCACCCAACTCCAAAAGCACCAAGGACCCCATAGTTGTTGTCATCCTCCTCCTCCTCCTCCTCCTCTCCTTCTCCTCCTCCTCTTCCTCCTCCTCCNTTGGGTAATGAAACGTCTGCAGGAAAACCAGCCAACTCAAAAAGCACCAAGGACCCCATAGTTGTCGTCCTCCTCCTCCTCCTCTTCCTCCTCCTCCTCCTCCCTGCAAACCCCCTCCTCTTCTAGCACTGGTGATGCAGGAAAGCTACCAAGCTCAGAGAGCACCAGGGACCCCACAGTCCTCCTCCTCCTCCTCCTCCCCCTGCCTGCTTGCTCTGGCCAGACACGGTCTGGCTACCCTCCCACCCACCCACCCTCCAGCCCCCGGAGCCCACCCTCGGCTGCCGGCACTGGACGTCCGGCGCTGCAGCAGGGACTTCTGCTTGTCGTGGGACTTCATGACGGCCTGCTGCTTGTGCTTCAGCTCCAGAAGTTTGGCCCGCACTTCTTCATTCGCACACACATCTGGCGGGGGGGGGGAGAGAAGCAGCCTCAGTGCGGCCCCAAAGCCCCTTCGCACCCGAGGGGCTCCCCACGTGGAAGTGGCTTTCTCCCAACCTCCCGCCCCTTGTCTAGTGGACCTCCACAAACTGCAGGCCACCCAAAGCAGCCGGCACCACTCAGGCCACGAGGTGGACACAAGGTGGGCGAAACACGTTTGAATGCCCTGCCTGGATGTTAACAGGCCTGGCTAGGGCATGTTGGGTGAACTCGGTCACGCTTTTCCCGTGTCGTTCTCTCGTCTCCCCTCCTGTGCAAAGGTCTGGCGTTTGGGTGTGTGTGTGTTAAAGTCACTGGTTCCACACAAGCAACCACAAAAGGGAACAGACAAAACTCGGCTGCAACCTTCCTCCCTTCTGCTCCCCAAAAGTCTTCCCTTCCCCTGGGCCTTCCTCTCAAGCAGGCGGGCCAATTATGCGGACTGCAATGGGGTTTCTCTTGGGGGGGGGTCCCGGGGTCTCTCCGAGCTTGGTGGTTTCCTTGCAGACGTTTCATGACCCACCTGGGTAACATCAGCAGTGCTGGAAGGGAGGGGGGTTCGCTCTCGGATTATATACAAGAAATTTGCCCTCTCAAGAGAGAGATATAAGCAGCATTGATGATGTTACCTAGTTGGGCCATGAAACGTCTGCAAGGAAACAACCCAGCTCAGAGAGCACCCAGGATCTCATAGTGTTTTCCTCCTCCTCCTCCTCCTCCTCCTCCTCCTCCTCCTCCCCCTTCTAGCACTGATGACGTTTCCTAGTTGGGTCATGAAACGTCTGCAAGAAAACCACCCAACTCAGATGATGATGATGATGATGATGATGATGATGATGATGATGATTCTTCTTCTTCTTCTTCTTCTTCTTCTTCTTCTTCTTCTTCTTCTTCTTCTTCTTCTTCTTCTTCTTCTTCTTCTTCTTCTTCTTCTTCTTCTTCTTCTTCTTCTTCTTCTTCTTCTTCTTCTTCCTCTTCCTCTTCCTCTTCTTCCTCTTCCTCTTCTTCTTTCTTCTTTCTTCTTCTTCCTCCTCCTCCTCCTCCTCCTCCTCCTCCTCCTCCTCACAAACCCCACTCACTTCTGTAGTACTGATGATGTTCCCTAGTTGGGTCCTGAAACGTCCGCAACAAAACCACCCAGCTCAGAGACCCCCCCCTCGAGAAACCCCCCAGTTCCACTCTGAGCTACAAAGATCTCCTTCTATTAGTCTTTTCCCTTCTGCCCCACAGCTGAGGGCTCATATCAGCAGAAGGTGGGCACCCATCCTATCAAGGGAGGCCCTGCAGTGTTAACAGCCCAGCTCTGGCCTGCCTGGAGGGCCGTCTGAGCCTGCCGGAAGCTCCGGGGGGGGAGGGAGGGCCAAGGTCTCCCCCGTCCCCCCTGCCCCTCCCTCCGTCTCCTCTTGCTCACCCAGCGGGCTCTCCTCCAAGACCGACTTCCCGTTGAGATCTGCTCCGTGGGCCACCAGCAGCTCCACCAAGGCGATCTGTGGGCCACAGAACCAGGGGTCAGCAGGACAAGGGCGGGGAGGGAGCCCCCCAGGCCGGGCAGGAAGGGGAGAGCCAAGCTCAGAGAATTGGGGGCCTGGGTGGGCAGGCCTCCCCCCCATGAAGGCTCCGAGGGGGCGTGGGGTCGACTCACCTGGCCCCAGCAAGCGGCGGCGTGAAGGGGCTGCCAGCCGTCGTGGTCCCTGGCGCTCAGGCTGGCCTGGTGTTCTATCAGGAGCTCGGCAGCCTCCAGGTAGCCGTTGGCTGAGGCGATGTGCAGCTGTGGGGCAGGGAGAGGGGAGGGGGCTGAGCCTTTGGGGAGAGGGGGGGCATGGGGGCGGGCAGGCAGGCAGGTGGCCGAGCCTCACCTGAGCCACACGGGGGGCCTCGCCAGGCCAAGCTGGGCTGGGCCGAGTCCCAGGGGCCTGTGCATCGGGC